GAGCCGTTGAGTGGCAGGGGGTGTCGGGTGTTCGCCTCTCCCTCCGTCCACAAAGTTCAAGGCCGGAAATTGACCTGGTTCGCTATCTTAGCGAAAGGAGATGGATGCTGCTGTCATTGCAGTCCACGGTAAGCCTCGCGTTGGGCGCCAGATGTGGGATTTCCCTTTGGGGGTTTTACCACTTAGAAACAAAGAGGGTTCCTTGGGTCCGGATAAAGACGTGTTTATTGACTGCAATGCCAGCACGCTTCGCTCTTAGACAATGAAAAGTCTGGGCGCTGGCTCAATTGCCAGTATCACCCGGTCGGTTTCCCGCGCTGCCGCATTAGACAGATTCACGGGAAGTCGGAAGCCCACAAAGAAAAACCGAGCTCCGTAGAGCCAGGGCTTCCGCCGAGGAGAGCCCCTGGCCCACCTTCGGGGCCAGCTTATGTAGCCTCGGAGAATGGACGCGCCCGGGGAGGCCACTACCAGTCGCGTCCATTATAACTCTCAAGGGTGTGCCGAAGGCGCGTTCACCCAAAATGGGCAAGGGAGAGCCGGCCCCTTCGGGGAATTCGGCCTCGTGGTTCCTTGTATCCGGGAGGCCGACGCCATTGGTGACGACGGCTCCCACGGCCTGCTCGAAGCTAGGCCTGGATAGGGATAGAGGGAACCCCATGGTTCCCACAAACTATTTTTCACGAATGTGTCATGTTTGCGAATTTGCTCTATAAATGAACAACGCCAATACTTAATGATAAATATTTGGAGTCGCGCTCCTCCTTATACGTAGTTTGTCAGTAAATATTTCTAGGCCCGTATGGACAAGATTTTCTTCGGGAGAGTTGCCAAAAATGCCAACTTCGCACAATTCACAGATAGCGCTTCGCACTGATAGTGTGCTACTAAGATGTTTTTCCGCAAAGACAACCTTTTTTTTCCGCAAAACAGATATCGGTTATGTTCTAGGGGGCATTGAGTTGGCAAAAGATATTTTTTCGTGAAAATTAAAAATGGTCACCGGACATGATCGGTCGAACTTATCTCAAAACAGCCCGTAGCACATCTGAAGCTGGTTTAGCTTTCCTTGGCGTCTGAACCTGTGTTCGAAGCAGATTTTCCGCCCGCTGCCATTGGTGTTGGCTCCTAGATGTCCGCTTCAACTCGGCCGCGCAGATGTCCCTACCGAGCACCTACACCAGAATGTGACGAGTGGCAATTGATAAGGCGACAATAACTGAAGGAAACTAAACGTTTGATGAGGTGAGCTTGTGCCCAAGATAAAATATAAAAAGGCTAGTGTCACAGGCGTCGATGGCGGCGTAACAGCAGGATCGAGCGCTGGGGCGAGACTTGCTCCGTACGGCGCTGCGCTGCATCTTTTGGGCCTTCCCTGGGAGCTTAGAATATCGTGCCTCGATCCTCCCCGAACTATACATTCTTAACATGAACAAACCAGACGGCTCTCCAACCTTCTCGAATCTTCGACTTACATAAGAAAGATCAAAGGACGCAGCGCCGGGAATCATACGGAGCAACCTATGTGTGAGCCCAGCGCGCTGCAGACTGGGCTACATAAGCGCGCGGCAGCATCATGTAGGATATGCTAATGATTGCTAAAATTTACTAGAACTTTCACGCAATAAAAAATCACCGATACTTTCACACTAATACTTTCACGAGCCCTGTTATTCTTCTTTTTGGGTGTATCTGAAGTCACCATTGAGCAATTTTCTCGCTGCATAAAGTTTGACATAAAGATATTTCATTTATGTAGAAAACTTCACTCTCCCGCGAGTGTCACAATGTGCAGAGTTTGTATATTTTTAAGCCCCTTTATAAAAAACTTAGTCTGCTACCGCTCGTCTCAGACGTTTTAGAAGCGTTTCGAGTACTCGGGAATCGGGTGGCTGCAATGCATTTTTGTCCCTTAACGTTATTTACCTGGGCATGACACAGGGCCCTATTTGTTGTATTTAGACTACAAAACGATGCAGTGCTTAGACGTTCCCCCCGTCTGGGTGGTTGCTCATAAATCCTTAAGATATTTCAAGGAGGATGCCAGCGTCTTTTTGTTTGCTGGCATATTTGGGGTGATAATTAAGCTTTTGGCACGCTGTATAAAGTTTTACATTAAACTATGTCATGCTCACACCGAACGTCAACCTCCTACAAAAGTCGTAATGTTGACGTCATGATCTGCCAATGTAGTGTAAGAGAAACGGTTATTTCTTTTTTTGTCAGAATACTCCCTGCAATATGTATGCTTCCAAAAAGCTACGGTCAAGAAACTGAAATTGAAAGGACATAAAAATATATTTAATTGCAGTATTAGTGTCTTTCCATCCTTTAGCCGAACTGAATTTGCTACGCAAATCTCAGAAAGTTTAATCAGGTTTTCATTCCCAACAAAATGAGTTTGTTGAAATTTATTTTTCTATTCATAGCGTTATTTATCAGTCCACATTCCACCAACTCTTTTCGCGACGTTCTGCTTGAGTTCGTCTCTTATGATTGCAGAGAAAAAGCTAGAACATTCCAAATATCCCAAGGAATAAGCATTTCACTATCGTACGACAGTGTGCAATTCTGTATGCATCACACTCTTCTGTCGAGTGTTTGGAAGTTATATAAATGGTCAGATATTATTATAGACCACGGTTTACAGTTCTATATTAAGTAAGGTAGCTTATAACCTAAGGTACCTGGGTATAAATGTCACATCAAATTGTATAGCAGAGTTTCACACCATAACCACAGAAGTGGTATGCTTGATACTCACAGAAACCCATGACAAGAAAATCAACGAAAAACAATAAAAATATAGCATAGCGACGTTTTACCATTATTAGCGCCAACCTATTGTATACGCTGTCGTAAATTAAAATGTTTGTATTGTCCTGTATTGCCATCAGTGAGGTCTGGGGTCACGAGCTCTTTTGGATATCTTAGAGTGAGTATCAATAGGCTTTTCAACAGCACGATATAATGAACATTAAAAATTACCTACATATTAAATCGAAATACTTTTTTAGTATATGGTCAGTGAAAAAACGGCAAATACAAATTTCCTCTGAATAAAATATTAAACATACTAATGCTTTACTTAGAAAGGAAATTACATACTTTTGAAACAATTATAATTTTACTTGTTTCGCATCCTAATATAAATTACAGAGAACTAGATAGAGTCGGGTAGAATAATTGAAGGTTTTTCGGCTTAGAAATAGTAAGAAAAACGCAATTATTATATTTTTGTTCATCATATCTTTTTGTCATCTCATCAAAGGGTGCTATTTCTTTGCAGCTTGAAATAAGTAGATTTGAAAAACTCACGTTACAGAAAACAAAGCATCCAACGTTTATTTCCCAACCCTACTAGTTTTTACTTCGCTATTGATCGTTCCGGCGGGCGTTCGTCTATCACTACCATGGGATGGACGTTAAAGACCCCTGACATGAAATCGTTTTTAACTGTCACACACAGAGGGATAATTGAAGCCTTGTTACGCTCTATGAATCTTGCCATTCAGCTATTACATTTCTATATTAAAGATAACCTTTCTGCGCAAGTCGAAACGTTGGCGTAATTATCTGCACATGTAGCGTAAACTATTTTGGTTTCATTAAAGTTCTCTAAGATGTTACGCTTCAAAAAAAAAAAAAAAAAAAAGAACTGCGTGTTTTAATGTCTTATGACATTAAAACACGCAGTTTTAATGTCATAAGAAATATTTAACAGCAGTATTTATACATTTCTATGGTTTATCCAAGCTTAGTATGCTAGTGCTAGTCAGATATAGTTTGCACTCATTCTTGGGCCCAAAATATTAGTTTGCTGAGTTGTATTGATATGAATATCGCTATAGTTATCAGTCCATATTACACCAACTCTTTACCCGATGTTCCAATTAAGTACGAAACTAAAGAGTATTCAGATAGAGCTAAAACATTTAAGGCAACAAAACGAATGTTTTTTTTTTTGGTGTACTACAGTGCACAATTTTGCACTTATGGAAACCTTCGGGCGAGTCGTTTCGTTTTATATGAAACTTATAATATTAATCTACGCCACGGTTAAGATGCCTCTAATAGCCAGGTAGCCTATATCCTAGCTTTAGCTAAATCGCAGTGTCATAATTTAATAAAATAACAAAAAACTGAGAATAAAAATGTAGCACAATTATGAGCGGTGAAATTCTGTGTGGTCCGTCGTATATTAAAATAATTGTAGGCTTGTCCTTAATTGCCATCAATGAGGTCAGGGGTCTCCAGCTTTCTTGCATATTGCAGAGTGGGTATGAGGTGAGCTTTAAGATGCAGGATCTTTTAAATAATTCAAAATACAGACACAAAAGTTGTGATTGTTTTCAGCATGTGTTAGGTGAAAAAAGTAGCAAATAAGATATTTATCTGTACAAAAGTTGAATAACATAAAGCTTTGTATAGACTGAAAACTAAATATGTGCTCAAGCTATACAAATGCGAGTTTTGTTCCCACCCCAATATAAATTAAAAAAAATACGGGGGTATCACATAGGCTAATTTAACGTTATTTGGCTTGCAAATATAAATAAAACAAGATTGCTATTTTGTATTAATATGATCGTTTTATTATCTCATGAAAGTTTGTTAGAGCTTCGCAGCTTAAAAAAGGAAAATACCGAAACTCACACCGTACAAAACAAGCATCCAACAGTTCATTCCCGCACCTACCCGTTTTTCTCTCGTTAATGATCGTTCTGGCGTGCATTCGTGTATCACTACTACGTAATTCACGCTTGAGACCCCAAATTGGCTGTCATTCTGTACAGGCAACGATTTGTATGTACAGCGCGAACTATATAGTGTCGCACACTATGGCAAAACAACCTCACACTTACCAAGCACCCCCCGTATAATTTGTTATGCTGCTAACCTTTCGAACATTGGGCGCAATCTGACACACAAATAAAGTGTCCTCTTACTCTTATTTCTATTATTATCCTTACTCAGGTCATGATATGCATTCGTTTTAGGTTTTGCAAGATATGTCGTCGCTGAGTTTGGCTTTGACGACACCCCACACAGGAAGGTCAATTTGCAAGATTGACGTCCACTGGTTCAATAATAGAACTAAGAAGGTCAATATGTCTATATCTGATACTGATTTGAAGGGAAACTGCACGTAAGTAGTGAATCCTCGGTATGCATTCGCACAGATGTTCTTAACCTCCGACCTGAAATTGCTGTCTTTATATGCCATCGTTTATGTAAAAGAGATCGCAAAGCTCAAGCGATGTTTTTCACACGACAGAAGCTTTGTAAAAATGGTTAAAAATATACGTGTCATTGAAACCTTAAAAAGCGATATGGCGTGTTTAAAGTAATCTGCAGCTACATGAAATCGGTTATGGTGCGAGTGTTAATGGAAAGCTTCGTTTTAACATATTAATGCGCATGTCAAAACACAGGATTTAATGCAACGATTCATTGAAATGAAAGAAGCATGCTTTCATTCACTGCTAATAATTTTTTTAAAGATCAGTTGCAGAGAGGTTATTGCGAGATATTCCGTCATCGTTATCAGCACAAATCACATTTGACATTTTATTTAAGCTTAAAACACTGGACGCTAACGCCTCAGATTGACGCCATTGAACAATAATAAGAAGAGGAAACCCTTAAAAGAAATGAATATGAAAATGCCCTAGTTTTTAAATTTCATTATTTACTTCTTTCGAAATTAAAATATTGTTACGGTGATAATGAAAATGATTTACTATACAGTGAAGGGAATAAGAAATACAGATATGGTGGTTAGTCCTTCAGAGCGTGCACCGACGGCATCGTCTTCTTTTTTCACCGTCGGGGTCGTCTTGCCGCATCTTCTTCTTCGTCACATTAACCCCCTCCGGATGAAAACGGCGTCTCGCCGTTAGCTGGAACTATGTACATACGGTTTGATTCGCACAACCTGGACGGTGTCGGCTTGAGTGCGGCGTGTATCGCGAGAGGGTTGTAAAGGTTCCACCACATAGGTAACGTCACTCGCTCGTGCGATGACACGATAGGGCCCGGTGTAGCGCGGAAAAATTTTCTGGGCGAGACCAACACGTCGTTGAAGCGCCAATACCAGAACAAGGTCACCCGGCAAATAGGAAACTACACTATGTATTCATTTTGAAAAACAGCGCGAATACCGCACGGACAAAAAGGAGGAACACACAGGACGAGGCGCTGACTATCAACTGTCTATTCAGAACACATACATAGGAATTCACGCGAGGTCGGCTTCTTCTATTTCCTCTTCCAGTCATTCGCCATTAAGCACGCAACAATGTAAATCATATCAAATTAAAACACACGAGTACATTAAAACACACCAGCACAGGTATAAGTCATCGCGTCTTCCTCTTTTCTTCTTTCTTGGATCTTCAATCTCGATCTTCAATTCTCAGGTCAACCCATGTCCAAAAAAATTACCTCACTGTCCACTAGGTTAACGGATGGTTAGCCTAGTGGACAGTGCAGAAGCAGAAGAAGGGCTGATTTTTCTTGAGGAGGTTTTTGAGGGGACGAGCAATTGGAGCGAATTCGTGAATAAAGCGTCGAAACTAGGAGCACAGCCGAAGAAAATTCCGGACATCTTTTGGTGATTGAGGTGTCGGAAATTGTTCGGCGGCTTTCATTTTGTCAGGGTCTGGTCGAACCTCATGCATGTCAACCTAAAACCTTTATCTAGGGGCTGCCGGATTGACACTTTAAGGAATTTAATTTGGAGACCTGCTTCTTTGAAGAGGTTCAAGACTAGATCCAAGCGTGCAAGATGAGTTGAGAACGAGCTGGAAAATATGATAACGTCGTCCAAGTAGCACAGGCAGCTTGTCCACTGTAGACCTTTTAAAAGGCCGTCCATCATTCGCTCAAAAGTAGCGGAGGCATTACACAGACTAAACGGCATGACTTTAAATTCATAGAAGCTGTCTGGAGTAATGAAAGCAGTCTTTTCCCTGCCGTTGTCGTCCACACTAGTTTGCAATACTCTGACCAAAGGTCGATAGAAGAAAAATATTTTGCGCCGTGTAGACAGTCTAGGGTGTCATTGATGCGAGGCAATGGGTACACATCTTTCTTGATGATCTTGTTCAGCCTACTGTAATCGACGTAAAAACGCCAGGACCCATCTTTCTTTTTAACCAAAACCACAGGAGACGACCATGGACTAGAAGAAAGCTGTATGATGTCTCGCGAAAGCATTTTATCCACTTCGGTTTGCATTATGCGACGTTCGCTTACCAAAACTCGATAAGGCCTTTGGTGTAAAGGTGGGTGGGTCCCGGTGGCAATGCGGTGTTTTGTGGTGGATAATCGGCCAAGAGGATGGGCTGGCAAGTCGAAGATTTCGTGATATTCGGAGAGAAGGCTTTGTAGGTGTTGCTATTGCGTTCCGTTTTACCTAGAATCAATCATGTTGGCCAGTTGAACGAGATCAGAGGTCAACGGCGGACTTGAATGTGGAGTTGGTCGGTCGTTGTCGGTAATAACCGATAGTGTTTCTTCAGACAAGGGCGATGTGACGGCTAGAGAAGTTCCTCTGGGTAGTAGTTGTGGGCTATGCCCGAGATTCACCATCCAGAGGGAAGTGGAATCATCAAGGTTAGAAATAATTGAATGTGGAATACTAAGTGGCTTGGGGAAAAAAATGTCCATGTTTGGAGACACTACGTAGTCGCCATCGGCTGTAGGGCTTTCAGGTGACACCTTGCTTGGACTGCTTTTAATAGTGGGATGCAGCAAGCTTCCATAGAACATAGTTTGAAAATGATGGGGTCCTGGGGTTCGTTCGAAGCGGAAACATTAACTTCAATTTCTCTCATTGCAGAATCAATAAGGGCGTTGTGTGCGGATAGGAAGTCCCATTCAAGGATCATTGCATGAGGCTAATTCGGAATGACGGTAAAAAGGACGGACGTGGTCTTATATTTTAGAGCAATACGTGCACTGCACATGCCAAGAGAAGGAATTATACAACCGTCCGCACCACGAAGTGACGTGGAATCCGGTGGCGTTAAGACCTTGCGTAGCCGACGCCTCAGATCCTCCCTTATAACGGAAATAGCAGCGCCAGTATCGACGAGGGCTGTTGTTCCAACATTGTCGATTGTAACAGACATATGATTATGAGGGGTCAGTGAACGTTGTCGAAGACGATTTGTTACCAATTGTCCTTGAGCAGCTTCACCTCTGGAAGCTGCATTGCTTAGTTTTTCGATTGACGGGGGACATGGGCCAGGGAGATGGGGCAGCGGGGGGCGGGGGACAATGATTGGCGGCGACGTGGAGATGGCGAGCGGTTGTATCTAGGAGGAGTGGCGAACTGTCCGTCATCTTGAGGATTGGGGCGGGGAGGTGCATAAAACGGGTGACCAAACGAGGACTGATAACTGTTCGATGCGAATGTGCGTGGGCGGTTGTTCTACTGGTTGCGGCAGTATTGTGCAATGTGTTCGACGGCGTTGCATTGGAAACATATAGGTCTGTTGTCAGGTGTCCTCCATGCTGCGGGGTCACGCCGCTTTGATGAAGTGTTGAGGGGAGGGAAGTCATAATCCGACCGTATGAAAGAAGTCCGACGTCCAGGTGGGTATGTTGGAACATAAAGCCGGTTGATTTCTTGTCTTATGACTGCTTGGTCGGCAGACACCGGGAGGACAGGTTCTTGTTGTTCAGTAGGTCGGGCGAAAGTGTTAACTGGGAACATGGCTTCAAGTTCTCGGCGGATAAGTTTTGCTACGTGTTTCGATTGTGTGCTGGTGTCTTCACATATGGATGTTGGTGTCGTGTTGGCGAGGCGCACAAAATTTGCGGTGATCCGTCGTTTTTTTGCTTCCTCAAAGCGTCGGCACTCTTTGACAACTTCCTCCATTGTTGTGCAGTCTTTGAAGACGAGGAGTTGGAATGCGTCGTCCGCGATACCTTTCAGGACGTGGGGGAGCTTTTCCGAGTCGGGCATGTTGAGGTCCGTTTTCTGGCAAGCGGACAGAATGTCCTTTATGTACGTCATGTACGACTCCGTAGGTGACTGCACACGTGAAGCGAGCTTGCGTTTAGCGGGCAGCTTGCGACCAGTGGGGTCGCCAAAGAGATGCTGGAGTTTCTCTTTGCACATGTCCTATGATGTGATTGTTTCCTCATGTGTGAGAAACCATGTTCGGCAGTGTCTTTGAGGTAAATTACAACATTGGCAAGCATAATTGTTGGATCCCATCTGTCATGCTGGCTGATTCGCTTGTAGAGCAGAAGCAATTCTTCAACATCCTGTTCACCGGATCTAGTGAAGCTTCCAGGGTCACGCGGTTTGGGGAAGACCAAGGGAGGGGCGTGAGTGGTTTGACCGGCGTCTCTAGGGGTTGAGTCACGAGACATGTGGGCTTGCGGGGGAGGGTCTTGTGGGGGTTCACTCTCCGCAGGCGATGAGGTGTCGGTAGTGATATCCGGTGGTCGGGGAGGTGCTTGATCGGGTGGGTGACTCTCAGTAGATGTTGTGTCTTCGGAGATCTCGGCTTCCGGTGTTGGAAGCTGGCGGCTCCGGAGGTCCAGCGTAAGCAGCGGAGAGGTATGGGATAGTGTCCACCTCCACCAAAATGTTACGGTGATAATGAAAATGATTTACTATACAGTGAAGGGAATAAGAAACACAGATATGGTGGTTAGTCCTTCAGAGCGTGCACCGCCGGCATCGTCTTCTTTTTCCACCGTCGAGGTCGACTTGCCGCATCTTCTTCTTCGTCACAATATTTTGACTTGACTTGACTTCTGAAAGTTGTGTACATTAAGTGAATGTATCGTGAAGCAGCTGAACGATGGTTGATGTCGGCACTTTCTCACGAGGCCACGCATGCTATTAATTAAGGCGGGAGTTACCGTACGCGGCCCGTTCCGTTATACGGAGACAAATTTGTATAAGCATTGATTAACACTCTGTAGATTCACGTTTTGTTTTTAAGCATAAAAGTTATTTTGCTAAAGTTCTTGCCATCTTCACAAAATATTGAAAACATTTTTTTTGTACAACTTAACCTTCTTTTAGGTTTTTTGTAACAAGTTTTGAATTAATTTTAACGTCTCATTCATGCTTTGGATGGGAAATCAGCGGCTCTTCCGGACCTTGAGGGTACAAATAAATAAATTAAGAAATAAAATTAGCAACATTTTTTGAGCAACTTATGTAGCTTTGCGTTTTTTATTTCCACAAGATGTGTGTATTTGAAAACTGACACTGACCGAAATCATTTAAACTTCATGCGATGGCTTAAACTATCGAAGTGGAAATTGCTCTAATAAAGAACACTGCTTTTCCGGCATTTGTATTACAGTCCGCGGAACACTACAGATATTGTGGAGGCTGTTGAAGACCCCAGGACCAATCAACTTTCAATATTAAAAATGCCACGAAAAATAGGTAATGCACGCGATAAAAGTCGTTAAATCCTCCTTTATTTCCAAAATCTTTGACAGTTCATAGAAGTGCAAGGGTCGACACAGTTGGCATGAACAAAGTTAAGGCATTTTTTCTAGTTCTCTTAGGTAGCTCGATGGCTGCAATAAAAAAAAACTGAAATGCAGCAGGGTTTGTGCATGTAGAAACAAAACTATGTAAAATGTGTTCGTGCTCCGACGCGTAGTTTGGCAGGTAGAACCTCTTATAAAAGGTTCCACCTCTTATAAGAATGCACACATCGAGTTACAGGCGGTATATATACCAACTGTAACTCGATGTGTGTATTCTGTTTAGATAAAGAAGCATGGGCGTATTCTAAGTAAAATATACAAAACATTTCACTGAACTGAAGCAAATATTTTGACAAGACAGTTCCGAATTGCCTGAAACAATCACGCATATCTATATACAGATTTTGTGCCTCACGTTCCTTAGGATTTATCCCCAAGTTTAGATTTCACTAGCCATCATCTAATTGAATACTTACGCGTTTGTTAGGGTGCCCACAGTGATGACATGATGATTTCATAAATAATGAAATAATTTCTGGCTTAGGTTTACGTGAACTTGTGCTTGATACGATAGGCTAGAAATAAAATCTAATTTTATTTTTTAGGAATGTCTAAGATATTTTTTAGAAATGAAAGCGCCCGACTCCTTTTTACGGACTACAAGACATGTTTAATTTTAATCACTGTGTTCTTCCACAATGTTAAATGTAAGTAATTCAGATATTTTTATACTTCGTGTCTAATGCATATCACATGAACGTGACGTGATCTGTTTTCTGTAATAAGACTGCGAGCTGGTCTAGTTGGTTCTGATTCATAATGGAGATATAGTCAAGCAAAACGAGGACACTGGATGAGGTGTGGGAGGCACACAGGACAGGAACGGTCTCTCCTGTTTGCGACCCACATTCTTGTTCTCGTTTTTTTCCCCCCATATTTCCAATATGGTTTTAGTATTTCTCGTGAGAGGCTTAGGAAACAACCAAAAGAATGACAATAATTTAAAAAAACTCGTGTGGTACCCTGAAAAAATTTAAAATTTATACTCTTATTTAGCGTGTTAATTTGATGATGCCAAACAGTGTCCAGTCGCTGAGGCATTTTTTCTTGCTATAATCACTGATAGTTTCAGAAACGGAGGGCGAGGCTTATAATAGTTAACGCTTCCCGCATTGTGCTTCTTTCCTGGACGTTCTTATCGGCCAATGCACGATCTCATTGGCTAAGGAGTGATACTGAGATTCCCGGGACTAAGGACGACATGTGTTTTTTTTTTTTTCGGGGATTATAGGGGTGTTTAAATATTCGAGATTAAAATTTGAACCAAATAGTGATTAGCTGAAAAATTTGATTTTATTCTTTAATTCTTAGAATTCGAGTTTAGGAATGATTTCACACGGTCATATATTGCTGGACACAGATTCAAATTGATTCTAGCACACTATCTATGTGGTGACCAAGTCGTCACCAGCTCCCGTATAAATATAATTCTAGCCTGAATTGAGAACCAAGTTTTGACCGACTGAACTTGTAAATAAAAAGCAGATCCTTGTATTCCTGGAACGAGCAGTCGTTATCGAGCTCGTGGGACGCGCTCGAACAAAGCCCGGAAAGCACGCATGTCGCCATGTCACCATGCATCATAATTTGCCACCTCTTCTAGCTAGAAACCTGTTGTTGCATTCAGAATTCGGCAATTAATTACCGAAGCACGAAAAACAATCATAACCAAAAAAGCTTTTTCCGCTAACCCGTCACTTCCCGTAGTTTAAAGTGAGGTGTCGTGGCTAGGTGATGAGTCGCAGCGACTCAAGAAGTTCAATCGCACCTGTCTATTTATCTGCTGTATAAAAGGCTGTAAACATACTTCAGATTTACCTCATGTTTGAACTTAAGGTGCGATCAATTACGCCGTTATTACTCGGGATAGCCGCTCTTCGTTCAGCGTGCTTGCGGTAGATTAAGTAGGCATAATTTTACTCAGTCTAAGCAGATTCTTTTTATCTTCGTGATTTGAATTACAAATAAATGATTTAGTAGCCGCTGTTAGATTTCACATTCTACTGTCAACTATTAAGCCCGTTTCGATTCGTATTCGTCAAGCGGAAGATTGTTTTTTTTGCACAACACTTGTGGCTACGCGTTAGGTCCTGGAACATCCTAATTTTTCCATGCAGACAAACTTCACGTACACCAGACACGCATCAAAAAGCGACATGCCTAAAAAAGAGCTGACATCTGCATCCTGCTATTGCACGATCATTATTGACAGTGGTCCTAGAGGAGACATACACGACCACCTTTAAATATATTGTCAGGGAAAACACCATGAAGCCGACGGTCACGATTGGCTTCAAAAACTATAACCGTACAAGCCACCACAACAGATACAGCAACAACTTCAAGCTAGTAAATGTCCTTTTCTTCTTGAAGGACACAGCGACTATATTTTTGACAACCACGAAGACAAAATGGACTCCTGGGACGCCTTGACAACAGCCGTTTTAGAAGATTTCGAAGGACGTGAATGACGCGAAAAGCAAGCAAAATATATCCTTGCTCGCCAATTTCAAGCCGCCCACGCAGTCTTTCACTTCCTACATTGTGGAGAGAGAGAGCGAGAAAAAGAGAAATATGATACTTTATTGAGCTAAAACATTAGGGAGTGGTGCTTAAATTCAGGCTTTCTACTTATATTGAGGACGTGTTTGCCTCTGCAGTAGACTGGATGTTTAAATCACGGAGGAAGAGCGTACCCGGCTGATTTTCAAGTGGATTTCCCAATTCCTCTTCGCTATCGTCGCACCAAAGTCACCCATGACTGTTCAAGACCTTATCAGTGAGTGCAAGAATTACGAAGAGCTTCAAAGTCCACACATCTCACAAGCACCACTCGAACGCCTTCCAGAAGTATCGCTTGCATCTGTAGCCAGTCGACTTGGCAGCATTGATTGACAGCATCATACGTGAAGAGCTGCGTTTATTTCTTGATCAGTGCCGTGGGTCCTTTGACAGCACCCAACCCCGTCCTCCGGCCGAAAGTATCCAAACAGTTGTCCAGGACCGAATTCGTGCTGCGCATGGGTCACTCAAACCGTAAACTCCGACACACGACCACGCACCCCCCCCCCCCCCCCCCCCTCCCGCCTCTCCAGTGCTTCATACCTCACGACTCCCAGAATTATACCACCTCAGCCCTTTTATGAATCAAGCTGCCCAGCGTTACAAACTTGCGCACCACCTCGAAGTAGTGACATTTGGAGAACTGATGACTTGGGGCCCATATGTTTCTACTGTTGACTAGCCGGTCAAAATTAAAATAAAACAGCACGAAGACGAGGACAAAGTAAAAGGTAACCGGCAGGACGCAGCGTTGTGGCTAGTTGGTACACATATATATTAAAAAAACGTGAAAGCCGTTTACAACTCCCTGTAACGCCGAATGAGAGCGCAGCTCTTGAGGAGGAGGAGGGAAGGGTGCTGAGGGGAGGCTATACAGCTCCTCCTTCTCCTCCTCCTCCCCTTATTCTTCAATCTTCTCCGGGGGGGTCACCTGACCTCGGGGGGGGGGGGGGGGTGACGTGCCCTCGGGGGAGGGGGGTCACGTGACTTCGAGGGGAGAGGGGGGTCACGTGACCTCGGAGAGGGGGGGGTCACGTGATCCCCTCTCCCTGAGGTCACCGAAGGTACCCGAGGTCCTCCCGAAGAAACCCGAGGTTTTCCCGAGGTCCTCCCGAAGGAACCCGAGGTCCCTCCGAGGTCCACCCGAAGGAACCCGAGGTCCTCCCGAGGTCCTCCCGAAAGAACCCGAGGTCCTCCCGATGTCCTCCCAAAGGAACCCGAAGTCCTCCGGAGGTCCTCCCAAAGGAACCCGAAGTTCTCCCGAGGTCCTCCCGAAGAAACCCGAGGTCCTTCTGGAGGACCTCGGGTTCCTTCGGCGACGGCGACGCCGCTCAAGCCGGAAACGGGCGCCTAAGAGCTGCGCTCTAAAAAAAAAAAAACAGCGCGAAGATGATGAAAAAGTTAAACGTAACCGACAGGACACAACGCGGCAATTACTCGGTCACATCGCTCCCTACTGCCGCGATCGCCTGAATGTCGATGAGTATCGCCGCTCCCCTCAGCCTCACATGGGCTACCCTGCCAATGACTAACCACAGCCGCTCTTTTGACTACCAGAATTCATCCGCCTTTTCGCAGAGTAACAACCGCAGAGGCCGATCACCGTCTTCTTAAAGGGGCACTGACACCCCAAAGGTCGTATTTATTTTTATTGTCTAAAACGATGCAAGTTGCAGCCATAAACACGCAAAAAAAACCGCATCGCGAATAAAAATTTTCCCGCGCGCACGCGCGCCTTTTTATTTTTGGCGTTTGATTTTCCCGCCCCTCGCCTCCTCGCTTCTTTTGATCGGTGACGTCAAAAATCAGGAAATTTAGAAGCTTTGTAGGCGGCATCTTTATAACATTTAATGACGGCAATCCTAAAACATGTTTTTTAACGCAATTGCGAACGCACTACGGCCCTTCTTTTTGAAATACCAAAAATCGGGAGTTCGTTGTGGTGCCGTCTCCTGGATTTGTATCCTCCAACGGAAAACAGGCGACACCACTCAAAACCGGTCCGCCGCAACGCCGGCGCTAGCCGGCGCTCGCTCCTTTCCTCCTCGCTTTGGGTCGCCATGGCAACAGCAGGGAGTGCTGACAGGAAAGGGGACTCTCAGGTCTCCGCAATTTTTGACGTCAAGGCACCGGCGCCGATCGCGCGGGAACTTCGAATTCGGCATTTGGAAATTGTTTTTTTACTTCATGAATACTGAATTCCCAAATTTCAAATTTTGAGGGTAATGTCCCGGCATCGTTTTCGACCGTTTCGGATAATAAAAAAAAATATGATTTTGATGTGTCAGTGCCCCTTTAAGCTCGACGCCAACGCTCTTCGTCGGCCCTCAAATACTCCACTGTGTCAAGTATGACATCCAACTAAAATTCACAGCCTGCGTTGTAACAATAAATTAATCTGCACTCCCAATGTGCGCTATAAATTCTTCTAAGGATGACCCAACTTTTGTTGCTGTAGAAAGCTGTTGAAAACTCGCAGCACTTGTTGACACTTGTGCCACCATATGATGTATTTCTGACAGTTTCCGACGCCTCTTACGTAAAGTGTTGACGTCGGTATCTGGACGGTATTCACGTACGGGAAACGTAAAGTTGATTCGTCTCCTCGGCTACTCAACCTCTTCAGCGACACTTGACTCCAATTGTTACCTAGTCATTTGCATAAACCTCTCTACCTGTATGGCTGACGTGACAACGACGTCGGACTTCGGGTTTTCAGCTGATGCCGAGATTGACTATGAAGGACGTCAGTTGCATCTAAACAGTTCTGATATGAACGAATCACACAAGTTTGATCCTGTTGTCCTTCGCGGTGCAGCCAAGGCAGTCAGTCATCCGTCCATTGACTCCTGTCGCAGTAACCCTAGAGCTTGACTTCCACCTCCAACGAGTTTGCGCACTCGTTCAGCCATTGCTTACTACCTCTAGGCAAAGGGACTTAATTGTGCCATACTCTATTATTGCGGTATAACAAATAGCCAAGTTGATTTGTACATAACCAATGCCTTCTCAGGGCCACTATTACTAGCTCGAGGTGCTCGTATCGCAACCATCCGGACGTACAGTCACAACAGCCGAGCCATTTTGTTTCACGACACGTGTAACGTTCAGTCACGGCCATTTCCCAAGATAGAATACTCCGTCAGTCCTATAACGCAGATGATCGGCACAAATTTAACAAAATATCAAAGGCAAGCTCTTTGCAGCATTATGGTAGCTTGTTGCGATTGATTTGACTTTGATCTGTCCACACTACCACAAACATCGATTCTATTCCGCCAGTTTGAAACAAGAAACCCAAGTTCCTTAAAGAGCCGGCCATGCCGTATTTCATTGGTGGAACGCAAGGTGGTTCGATGTCATGTCGCTGATATGCTCAAAAGCAATGTTATTGAGCCGTAATGTAGCCCTTCGTCCTTCCCAGTGGTTCTGTTGAAGAAAGAAAACGGCTCGTGTCGTTCCTGCGTTGATTACCGGCACCTAAACAAGAAAACAAAAAAACTTTACGCTTTTCTTGCATTGATGACATGAAGGACACACTTCAAAGACCCTCCTTTTCTTCATCTGTAGATGTCCGTAGCGGATATTGGTAAATACCGGTAGCCGGCGGTGATAAACCAAAAACTGCATTCGTCACTCCGGACAATTTCTTCCAGTTCAATGTAATGCCATTTTGCCTCAGCAATTATCCGGCGACTTTGCGAATGATGGACATTGTATTCCGTCGCCTAACTTTGAACATCTGTCTTTGATATCTCGACGACATCATGGCTTTTGTTTCTTCGCTACATCACAAGATCTTCTACTTCGGCTCTGTCAGACTCTAGACTGAATTCGCTCCTATGTATTACGGTGTAAGCAAAAGTGAACTTTTGGAGCGAAGGAATTTGAACTGCTGGGACACCTCGCCAGCGCTGACGGCATTCCCCTATACCCATGCGAAGTTCAGGACGTCTCTCAGTTTCTCAATGCTAAAACCCTGAAAGAAATCCAGGCCTGTCTTAGACTATGCACCTACTTCTGGAAAATTATTCCTGGTTTCTCGTATCTCGCCGAACCACTTAACGAGCAGCTACAAATTCAGACTTGGACGTAGTTCAACTACTCTACTCAAACTACTGTAGTTTAACTACTTTTTCGAGTAACTTGGTAACTTTCAATTACAACTTGATTTGGGTAATTAGTAGTTTAATTTAGCTACTTTTTTCAGGTAACTTCTACTCAAATTTCTAACTACTTTCGAAATTATATAGTGCTAATTTTGCCCATCACAAAAGTTTGAGCGTAGAAATGAATAAGACGCCGGCAGATGAAGTGGCATTCCCGAACAAGGAGGCCCCTTGTTCAGGAGGGCGTCCTTGGGCCAAGGTGGCGACGAGCAGCCAAAACATAACACCGGCACGCACGAACACAGGAAGAGATGCTTAACAAGCCTTGGTCGGGTTTTTGACCTAATCCGGTAATGCACGAAGGCGCCGCGTTTCCAGCTGCAACCGTGAAAGACGGGGGCACTCCGAGAGTTGTTGTTGTTTTCGTGTTGTCTGTCTTTAGTGAGTTCTGACTCAAGCGGTAAGTTCCACGGGAGGCGCCATTGGAGTGACCTTGCAGCTGGGCGCCTGTTCCCATGGTCGCCTTGTCGTCAGCGCATACGCCTTTGCAAAGCAGTACTCCCCGCGCACAAACCCTGGCACGGATAATCCGTTCTTGGGAGCACGTTCCCGCTTCCAGCTGCAACTGTATACGAGGGACGATGCTTGTTCACGTAATCCTTCGCGTCCTTCCGACCATCCATGCCTGGAATATCTCCTCTTTGTTAAAAACGATTTACTTGTCAGGCGCGTCAAAATATTGTAGTCGCCGGCGAGGATTGCGAGTTACCCTTGGGAGATCCTTTTGTTGGACCCGGCGTCAGCGGCGAAGTATACTCGGTTCATCTTCTGTTAAACCAAAACAATTTTTTTTCTTCAGTAGCGTAGCACTAGCTCTACAACGGGACGCGCAGTCGTCCGGATGACCTAATCGTCGTGGCGCGAGACTTGAACCCTTGACGGTCTGGAGCACTCGCTCAGCGTACTCTCAGAACGACGTCGGAATAAAGAGAGGCCAGTCATAACAATCTCAACTTGACGAAGAAAAAAGAAAAAAAAAGGAAAGTTTGTTATAAAATACCCTCTACCCGAGGCAAACCTCACATGTTTCGTCATGGACACCTAAGATGCCGACACTCGCTTACCTGACCCTGCACAGCCTGTTTCTCAAATTCAACGCTGCCGTTCCATCCAGCCCGTCGGCGGAACGTCTATTTAGCTTGACTGGGGACGTCTTTAAAAGGAAAAGGGGAAAACTCTCCTATCAAGAACTTTGAAAGTCAATTGCTTCTGCGAGCGAATAAACTATTTTGGCGAAAACGCAAGCCATAAATAGACTGCATTTATTTTAGGCTCGCGGAGTTTTTCATTGATCAAAACTGCTGTTCATTTTGCTACCACCAAAATATAAAAAAGTAACTTCGAAAGTAACTTCAAAGTAACTCGCTACTTTTTTACAGTAGTTAGTAGTTTACTCAATTACTCTTACAAATGCGTAATTTCTACTCTACTCCAATTACTTTTGGCGTCGATACTCAGTAACTTAACTTAACTACCTTTTTTGAGTAATTTGTACATGTCTGTACAAATTGACGCCGAATTTCAGCAGGCATCCACATAAATTAACTCGCTTAAACGTGCCCTTACTCTTGTTCCAATCATTGGCCACTTTTTGGAAGACGCTGACACCGAAATCCGAACGGACGCAAGGGGATATGGCATGGGAGCTGTCTTAGCTCAGTACGTCTATAATCGTCCGCGCCTGGTTATATACGCGAGTCGAATTTTAACAAACAGTGAGCAAAGCAACAGTATCACAGAGCATTAGTATATCGCAGCTATATGGACAGTATCAATATTACGCCCGTACCTTTATGCTATCTAATTAAAAAAGTGGTATTAACCATCACGCCCTATGCTGGTCAGCCACCCCTAAAGATCCATCTGGCTGCCTTGGACGACGGTCATCGCAATTCAAAACTACGACTTCACCGTTGTTTAAAAGTCCGGAGAGCGAAACCTATTTGCCGACGCGCTGTCAACCTGATCCTTGCCCAGTGACATTTTGCCTCAAGCTTCAAGCGAAAACATACATTCCTTCATCGTTTAAGACACATTAGGACGCTTGGGCTCGAAGCAGCCCAAGCGTCTAATAGAAATTTTATGCCATTGAATGTATGCTTGAAGGGGATCTCTGGATCTTCAATGCGGCACACAGTGCAGCGAGTTTGTGTCTTCACCCTCTAATTTTGCCCTCCTGGATAGTGTCCTCTACAGGCGGAACTATGAGCCACAAGGGCGATCCTGGCAGCAGATCCGTACGGTTATTAGTAGGTCACTACTGTATCTTTTGGGTAGGACTCAAAATCATACTCAGCATCATAATAGACAGACATACAGACCTAAGGCTCAGACTTTCAGTGTCCGAGTTTTCCCCCCGAAAGTTTACGTAAATGCTTTCGTACCCAATCTTTGGATCTCTCTCATTGGCGGTAGCCATTTCTTGGGCAGGACGCTAGTGATTAGATTTGCGTCATCGCCGAATGATGACACAGCACTAATTTTTGATCGATATATTTTGATTCCTGCAGGTGTATCTTGACACTTGGAGCAATGCGGAGCGCAAGCTCGTCTGCTTCTTTTGCCGGGATTGTGGTGACGTCAGAACACCTAGCTCTGATTGGCTCTGATTGTAGAATAGTGGACAGACCTCAAGGCAGCTTGCTTTGAGGTCTACACACTATCCTTCTATCAGAGCCAACCAGAGCTCGGCGTTCTGACGTCACCACAATCCCGGCAAAAGAAGCAGACGAATTTACGCTCCGCATAATATTTGTCTGCTCAGAAAAATAAATACACAAAACTTCGTCAATAAAGAGCAACAGCCAGATTTTGTTCATTTACTCACTCCTTAATTTACCAATTTTGAATTCTTGTATTCTAATTAGATATGAATTAAGTTTTCTAATGACGTCTAAAATATGCGATTTCAGATTGCGAACTTTTCGTTGCAAGTACAAATTCCAATAATATGCATTATACGCAATGTCACTCAATTTACCGGATATACTGCGGGTACGGACGGCCTACACGAGGTACGTAAACATCGCATTGAACTAATGAAATAAACTATCAGATGCAACGCACCTCTTAATTCGGTAGCTTTATAGGGCCAACCAACCTCAGGGGCCGCTTAAGCACGAAATGTGTAGGTCGATCGGTCTGTAACCGCTAAAAAAAAGGCACCACCGCCAGGAAGCTGACCCCGGTCCCTTGAGTGGAGGCTGAGTGCGCTACCAACTGCACTGCGGACCCAGCACACATGAACGGGCGGAACGAAACGGACCCAGAACGCAGGAACGGGAAGCAGGTGATGCAAGAAAACACGCAGCGCATAGAGAGGACTGAAAAGGCCACTAAAAAAAGGAGCAGAACCAGGTGTTATAGCAGGAGCGCGCGGAACGAGGAAGAGTGAAAAGGGCTGGAAAGCAAGCTTCACCTCTCTTGAAGACCCAGAAAATTTAGCGCTAAGGTTTCGTATCCGGGTTGTGCTGAAGGGACGCGCGCACAGCGTCACAAAGAGACAACGGTGTGACGTAGTTTGTTTTCACAGCAACACCTGCCCTAGGCACATTGAGGTAGGATGCTTCTGTAGGCGACAAAACGCCACCAATGGTGAAACCGGGACAGACTTCTGGTTTGGAGGGCCACGCCCCCAATGATGACTAAAATCTAAAGATGCGATTGGACGGACTTGGGCGCTCTTGAACGCTATGTGTAGCGCAAGTTCCTCGCCTTCTTGCACAGGGGTTGTGATAATATCAGAACGCGAACCCTTCATTGGCTGATTGAAAAAAAAAAAAAAGAAAACAGTGGATAGACCTCAAGGCATATGGCACTGAGGTTTGCCCACAATCCTTTCAATCAAAGCCAATAAGCATTCGGCGTCGTTCCGAGGTCATCGCGACTCCTGCCCAAGAAGCAGACAACTTGCTCTTCGCATTGGGCGGACTTGGGCACCCTTGGGAACGTTGCCATCAACCGCAACCTTTCAGAATTATCTCGCTTATCTGGCTTGAGCCGGTGCGTCGCCTCCTCCTCTTCCTACTTCCATGCCTAGGCACACCCTAATCTAAGAGCCCCCACCCACCTTAGGCACTGAAAGACTAATGGTCATTCTGACCTAAGAGCCACCCTATAAAGCTACCGTATTTAAACGCGTTTGACACAATGACAAAACATGTAGCCAATGTTTACTATGAGTTTTCTATAGTCACTCGAAGGATGAAAACGGCAGGGAGGAGCTTCAGTTAGCCCATCTCCAGCTTAAGCTCCTTATCTTTGACAATGCATCTGTGTCTCGCAAGCCTTGAGTGTGTACGCCCAAACAAAGCACGGTGAAATACTGCGAGGGCGTGCTGCAGAACGAGTGCTTAAAAAAGACACCCTACCCTTTTCACCTTCTCACTGACTATGCGGAGTTTTAGTAGGTTATTCCGGTATACCCGCATGCATCGTACCGTTTTCGGGTGCCTTTATGGGAGGCATCGAAGCGATCTACTAAATGCAATATTATAACAGACTAAATCATAGGTTAGAATATTCACAAAAACAAATCTACGATGTCGCAAATTTCTCCTCATGAATGTTGAGCAAAGCATTATATATCTTAGGAGCAACACCACATACTCCGTTCCTAGCCTGCTAAGATAATTTCCAGATATTTGTTTAGTTAAACAGGGGGAAAATATTGATATTTCTCGTCGGAAGGTCATTCCACCACCTTGTCAGTGTAATCTCAAATTGTAGTGAATGAAGGTCGTTGTTCTACCGTACTTTGAACTAGTTTGACGAGCATGCATGTTCAGCATTATATTAAATATACGGAGGAAATAGTTTAAGAAGACTACACCGGTAATCTCTAAGAAGTTACAGCTATGCTAGTTTCTTTGGAATTTTCTAAAGCTGCTTGACAACGTGCATAGCGCTTCCACTAAGGCATAAGTGATGATGCGTATACGGTGGCGTTATGCACAATATAAGGCGCCTATCAAAACGCATCTGTAGGAATGTCGTATGTTGCTGTTTTTTCAGATACTACTACTTGTACTAATAATAATATTAATCAAGAGCCAAGAATCAGTTTTTGTTTGGTGTCCGGGACAAACGATATGGTCTTGGTGCTGACACCGAATAACAGGCTGAAGTTGAGCTAGTTGGTACATAATTTAGGTAAATGGTCAGCTAGAAGGACAAACACAGACAGCTCCCTGTCTGTGTTTGTCCCTCTCGTTCTAGTTGACCATTTACCTAAAAAGCTCACACCGAGATCGTATAATAATAACAGTTTAATATTAATATTATTTACTTAAAGAGATTGATGCGCCTCCACAAAATGTAAAATATGTGTGCACACACTAGTAAAAAGTTTAATTTAGGCTTATTTACAGACTAGCAAACCGCTTAACATGCGGCGGAATACTAGCGGATGCAAAGACGTCGAGACCCGGAGTTGCGACACTGTTATGCAGCGACTGTATCTGAGAAAGGGCAGAAATGTTACTTGGTGATTAATTATCAAAACGGATGAAATGCATATTAGAACGGAAATCGACATGAAAATAAATTTTGAAGACAAGTCGAGCTCTGTCAATATTGAATTCGCAATCACTTGTAGAAAAATAAAAACAAGGTTGAGAATGGTGTTGCATGACTTCGCTCAGATCATCCGCAAACATACATAAAGAGCACATGATTCTTAAATAATTCAAAGGAAAGAAATTAAACGGAATTTTTTTGTTCCTTTAACTAGATGAATGGCCGAACCCCGCCAAATACTCAAGTGATTATGCGTTCTTAGTTGAATTGCATAGTCTTCGGTTATTGGTTGAACACAGAGATCCTTTAAAAGAGAACACACTTTTCATGAACGAATTTCAGGTGATCCCGGAGGTAAGCACCTTTTTTTCCCGGAACCCATTTCAAGCGGATCATTTGCTAAGGGGCGAGTTCATTTCAAATCGTGCTGGAAAAAACGAAAAAAAAAAGTCATGTCTCATGTCCTTAAAGGAGCGATGCAACAATTTTTGTACTGTGCACAAATACCGCTTAAAACGGATCCCTAACGTTAATGACCTATGAAACACGCGTTCGTTTTTCACCCCACGCAATAGAAGTCCCAGAAAAAAATTTAAGAAAAACGAGCAGCGTTCACCCCCTCAACTCGCAGCCAGAACAAGCGGCCACGTGATCTGGAGCCGATTATATGCCGCCAGTGTTGATCATAGCCACGCGCTGGGGTTGGCAAAGCGCAGGACATGCGCTGAGTTCCAGACATTGTTATGGCTCGGCTGTTGTCGTTGCAGCGATTGGACACGGGTCACAACCCGAATGCTTCTCGAGCTAGCAATTGTCACGAGCCCAAGTCGAGTGCCCACGCAATGCTCGGGTCCAATCTATGAACCGCATTCAAATATCGTCACTTGGGTGTGCTGCGATCCCCGAGTTACGTCATCGAATTTTGCAAAGGAGAGATTGAATGAAAATGATCGCTTTTGTCCTTGAAATTACACCGCAACAAAGGAGTTTCTTGGCCAATGGCGTTGCGTGTGAGTATCCTTGAGTCCCAGGTGTGCCAGTAAGCTCGTGTAGAGAGAAAAACATTCCAATTGAATATCGTTGCACAGCTCCTTTAATATATATATATATATATATATATATATATATATAGGGTGTTTCAGAAAACGCAGGCCAAATCGTTCCTGCGAAAACTACTCATCGCAACGAAAAAAGGCTTGTGGCGTTGTGGTCCTGGGCCAGGGGACCATTTAAGAAAATTATTAATGTCCGGGATAATTAACTTGTTAATTATTTTTCCCTCAATAACTGTTTTAATATTGTGTTTAAGGGCATGGTTTAAATTAGAAAATTGCTCAGCATCATCGAAAACCACTAAACCAACAAATTGCAGAATGATAGAAGGCACGCGAAGCATTTTACGGCTTTCTGAAAAATCGCACCAATTTGACGGGTGTTTAGGTTTCGGTTTGTTATCGGAGCGCATCTCCGCCCCGACGGCACCGCGCCCCGTGGAGAGATAGTGCAAGCAACCTCTGCTGCGCTGTCATCGCGCGACGCAGCAGATGCTAGTTGCACTATCTCTCCACGGGGCGCGGTGCCGTCGGGGCGGAGATGCGCTCCGATAACAAACCGAAACCTAAACACCCGTCGAATTTGTGCGATTTTTCAGAAAGCCGCGAAATGCTTCGCGTGCCTTCTATCATTCTGCAATTTGTTGGTTTAGTGGTTTTCGATGATGCTGAGCAATTTTCTAATTTAAACCATGCCCTTAAACACAATATTAAAACAGTTAATTAGGCAAAAATAATTAACAAGTTAATTATCCCGGACATTAATAATTTTCTTAAATGGTCCCCTGGCCCAGGACTACAACGCCACAAGCCTTTTTTCGTTGCGACGAGTGGTTTTCGCAGGAACGATTTGGCCTGCGTTTTCTGAAACACCCTGTATATATTTACACTGGGAAAGCTTTTTGCGGACGAAACAGAAAGCTGCTTTTGCGTTTTATTTTTTTTTATTTACTGGAACATTTGACTATTAAGAACCAAGGCGGAATTCAAGATTTCGGCGATCGTCACAGGTGGCATATTTGGAAGCTTCGTCAGGGTGCTATACAGCCCACGCAAAAAAGAAAGGAATTACATGGCTTTTAGAATTAAAGTAAATATGCCACGTGTTCCTATAATGGTAGTTTTGTTTTTATGTTTTAAAATATCAGAACCTGACCTTTTGGAGGATATATTAACGGTTTATATAATATTTTCTTACATATTTAATAAATGCTTAATAATGCGTATTCAATAGAGACGAATAAGGTTATTTTCGGGAAAACATATATAAATACAAAGGGAAAGCCTAAAAGTAGACATTGGTACAAAAGTGTCCAAAAAGACAATTTTTAATTTGTTTTTGTATAAAGAGTTTTTCGAATCGTTTAAGATATTTATTTAAATATCAGACGTGATATCTGGTTCAGACACATAGATCCGTGTATATTCAAAGGTTATATTTTCGAAGTTTTATATAAATGATAATGTAACGCTTGAGACTGGTGTGGAGAAATAAGGGACCTTACAAGTCGAAGCAAAGAACAACAGTAGTAAAACATCACAAACGCAGCTAACATAATTTAGTTTTCTCTCTCCTTGTATACCCCCGAGGCTGATTTTACCGACCTCTTCGCGAATACACTCTTTGTGGACATCACTACCGAATGACATCTTAATTAAAATTAAGACATGATACAAAACAGGTACGGTTTAGATTATTGTGTCATTCATTTAAACTAAAAAAAAAAACACGTTATTATCATTTAAATTTGGCAACGTATTGTCAAAACCCCAGGTTCTGTATTTTCTACAAAAATGAATAAGAGCAAAATTACATTTTGAGGAGCATTGGGTGCTTTTTCTGTAGTTCAAAGGACATCTAAAAGTGTTGTTTGTTTGTAGCGTGGGAGGTATATAAGTCGGGCGAAGCTCCCAAATACGCCACTTGCGACGATCGCCCAAATCTCAAATTTCTCCTGTGACTCTTTAACAAGCAAATATTATTATTATTATTATTATTATTATTATCATTATTATTATTATTATTATTCAGATGTCTTTAATGTTCTTCCTGAGGATAGATACAGTATTACTGGCAGGGCAAACACTGCAGTAACAAGTGGTCATGGACGGTTTAACATGCCAACAAGTTCGTAGATTGTGTGGCAGGTGCCATCTACAAAATCCCGTTGTCATCCGGCCGGGTTTATATAGGACAATGGGGATGCTGTCAATGAAAGAATGCGTGAACATGCCCTTTCGTTATGGTCGATGACCGGAGGTCACTTGTACGTACACTGCAGAAACTGTCTGTGTCATCCTGTCTTCGAAGGTGATGTAGTCATTGGCATGGGGCGTACAAAAGTGCAAAGAGAGGAGCTGGAGGCGCATGTAATTGAAACATCTGGCCCGGGGCACTGCGTCAGCCAGTCTTCAATTTCTCTAAACCAAAAACAATAGATTTTATAGATGCGTGGTGAGCGACACGCCATTGGTTGTTAAGGCGTTGGTTGGGTTTGTGGCATTTCTTTGCTTTTGCTTCGAGCCGTTTTTAATAAAACTTCAGATGATAGTCAGCGCTCGTCCTGTCCTCTACTCTCGTTGTCCTCGTCTTTTTTAGTGTTTTCCCTAATTTCTTAAGTAATACAAATTATTTTTGATTATTACCACTATTATATCATTATAAGAAGTCAACATCCCTAGAAAAAATATATATAACTCGAAACCGAAATTCAGTTGTCCTAATAAAATATTTTCTGTGCATATATGTTTGTTGATAAGCTTTTTAGACGTTACCTTTTCTCCTGCACAAGTTGAGATACAATTTTCCAACTCAAATAAACATGCTTCCAGCCTAGCTATATATATGTACTCTCTATCTTATCGTAAATTACGATAAGATAGAAACATTGTCGCGGATGGAAAACGGTGGACGATCGTAAAACTGAAAATAAACGTTTAATAAAGCGAACTTGAACTTTCAACTGTAACCAAAAGAGCAGCGCGCATCCTGCATAGGCAACGAATATGGACTTCCCCGAAGTAGCGTCTTACCGTTGCTTTTAAAGAAACAGTACATTCAGGAATGTTCAGAAAAAGATACTCCATGACAGACCAAGATGATCTCAAACTTTCGAGGAGAGTACAGCATTAGAAAACAAAGCTCTGGGCCGAGGGGAGTTCGAACAGCGTTTGTCTGTGCGGCAGCCACGTGTGTTGTAAACTTAGCCACGCCCGCGGCAGCATAATACGACCCAATAAATAAAATCTCTAATATATTACTAAGGTACAAACAATATCTGGTCACATCGCGGATATGTTATACAATAAACACATTTTAAAAAGGTGTTCGGTGAATTCTCTTGCCTAATTCAAATGGTGCGTGCGTTAATTTGGAACATTAAATATCCCGAATCAAATTAAAATCGATTCAAAATATCTGTGAAGAGTCATTTACGTTTCTGGATGTATTTCATATTTCAGGTTTTGTACCGCATTCCTGAGGCGAACGTATACGCTTCAACATACGAAAAAACAAAACCAAGACTATGTGGAATACAAGCTTACAAGATAACACCTGATCAGGCGGAGTTGGAGCTCAAAATGATAACTTCTGGCGGAAAGTATGACTACAGTTTGTTTTATAATTAGGAACCACTTAAGACCTAACACCCTGTAAAAGAATGTTGTTTTTCACGACGAAGCACTAGAATGTGCTATGAAGGCACACTTGATTTTTTTTTTTTTTATGCAAGATGGTAGACATTCTCTAAATAAGTCAAATTAAAAATCAAAACTAAAGGACCAACTCGGAGGAAGTCAGGATAAAGACTCCCAGGGTACCAGGGCTAGCTTCACTTACTGGAACCACGCTTTCAATTTTCTTTAAATCAAAGAATTTTCAGGGCATCAGTGGACATAAAAAATCCGTATGATGGAAAATATTGTTTATATACATAAGGGTGTGACTTGGGCAGCTGAATCCTTCTGAAATATAGCACGCAACATAGGTAAAGAAAACAGCGATTTCGACCCTCAACATTTTTTTAGATATTCAGCGTGATTAGAAGCAAGATGTGAGCTCGATAATGCAAAGTATGCGCTTGCATCAAAACAATTTTAGGTGGCCACGTAAGTGGAAACATAATTCAACATTCAAAAAATGCTTGCGCACCTATTGGGAATAATTACTCGATTATTCGTTTGCCTTTGCTTAAGTAAATAATCAATTTAATTAATGATTAACGAACACCTGAAATTATCATTATAAAAATGTAAATCATCATATGCTTTTTGGTATTATTCCTGAGATTCCTCTAACCTTGGTAATATAATATCCGTATTTATCATCAAATGTTTTTATTTGTTTGATTTGGCATACGTTTGTTGATTCGAATTATATAGGATGTTGGCAAAGTAGTTTCCTAGACCTATATATTTATATCACTTATAGAACAGAATATATTAAGAAAAGGTAGTTTACTAATCTCTCGTCGTTCACATAAATAGGCAGTGGCAACGTGAAAGCCGAAACTGAACGCCATTAGGAGACATTTACTGTTTGACTGCATGTTTGGCTGCATGTTTGTAGCTAATCGCAGATGATTAAGGGATTTATTTTTAGATGAAGGTTTCGGACAACGACAAGGTCCGTGACATCCGCATCAAAGGAGCACCTTTGACCAATTAATCAGTTAAAAATTAAGACAGCAGTCAATGCATCAGTCGATTGTCGCGTAGCTTAAATATTAATTTCACTCTCTTTTTAAAATGTTTCCACGTCAGTATCAAGCTACCATTTCTTTGTAGTACCTGTAGCAACTTACGACACTGATATTACAAGAATCAAGCACGTAGTTGAGGCTTGTCATATCAGTGTATAAGCATGTCGGTGTCAGTAGTTTCTGTTTGGCGCTCTGGTGAAACCAGGGAATTTACAGCGATGATTAGTGTAATAATATTTATCAAATATTAAATATTTACGCAAAAACTTAGCATTTCACTCAGATGCCTGAAACTGAACATTTCACTCAGATGCCTGTAACTCTAGCGCAATACTTTCACCAACAACACAACCGCACTTACAAAGACTTATGCCTCTCATATTATGAAATGCATATAAAATAGTAATACCCTCAAAGATAAAAGTATCTCTTAAGGGCGCAGTCCGGCAGCCTTTTTTTTTTCCGTCACATTTACCATACCTCTTTTTTTATCTTTTAGTACAAGTATGGAGGGAGTACGCAAATTTCGTTCGGACGAGAATGCAATTTCTCCAACCCAAATCAATCTTCTGGATCAATATGGTAACCTTCTTTCTTTGAGTTTTCGTGTAGACGTTCTTAAGTGATTTGTACAGTTTTGTATTTTTGCTTACTGTTCTAGTTACGCGACAAAATATGATAGCCTTAGGAAAGACGTATTGTAATGTACCTTGTCAAAAAATAATCTTATAAACCAAAAGTTCGCAATTCTTCCTAGAATCCTCAAAACAATATTATAGGAAATATTATTAGATTGCGATAGTCTCACATATAATACAAGCTTTTTACGAACGAATTCCGCGCGTCTAGTTTACTGCATAGCTTTGAAAAACCCAGTCACTGCCTTTTCGAGAGAGAGTTTTGCGAATGGCGAATCACCGATAACAATGAAAGCTCCTAGGAAGTGCGATTTCGGAAACGGAACGCTATTAGTGTTTCGTAATTACTTGCTTTAGGCCTCCGCGTACTCTCTGTCGTCCTTAACAGTAACTTGAGCTGACAGAAAGTGAGATCACCTTTTATTTGTGTCGTTAGCGTTACAGCAACGCTAAATATTCTTATGACAGCCTCTTTGCTTGCCACAACGTATCATAAAGGGCCTCTATTGCTGCAGAATATTCACTAAGACCATCTGAACAAGGCTCTATACTTCGTTTTCAGTTAGGCGGGGCTATCGCTACGAACTGAATATTTTGCCGAGAATATAACAACCGCTGACTCCGTTTCGCGTGTTTGCAGAAAACGTCATGCAATATTCCTTACGCTACGCTTATAGTTGGTGCAGATAAGATTTACAATAAGAACTGCACCAAAAAGTAATCTGAATCTGTCCAATAGGCTTATGAGCTTATGAGAACGTATAATTCCACATATATTCAACTTACATACACCTTATTTGCGTCTTGTGTAAGGGAAATCGGTGGAAGATTGCGTTATACCGCTGTCAGACGAGCAGGCCTTCAAAATGAACTTCTTTAGAGGGTCGGCTAACCAGTGCTCGCTGATAAGTGCAAGATCGCGAGCTAATTCGCCGATTCCTTAAAAGAGTTTGTTCTGGAGACCTTTAATATGTTCGTCGTATACAGCGGTATTGGTGCGCCACAGTTCGGAGAACGTGAAGTAAAAGCTCGGGCTGCAGAGCCCACGGATATTGGGTTCAATCCCCATTCCTGTCCGTTTCGATTTGGACGTACCGGCCCTAGGTCGTGTATCAATACTGCGTCCTGCGCGTTAAGATCCAGGCGAACGGTTCTACTATAGTTGTTGAATGTTTCATCTGCAGTTGAAAAACAAGTCACCTGTTGAGGGAGAATAGCTTCCGGTTGTCTACACAGACGTACTACACAAATATTATTATATCTAAGTTACATAAATTTTGATTTATTTAATGTACACATAATGAATGCAATCCTTTTCTTTTCAATAGGTCTGCGACGGGTGTTACTGTCCAATTTCAATAACTGCTACGTATTGAAGAAAGTTGAGAGCAACAGAAACTCGGCTCATTGTACGTATACTAACTAGACAAACTTGATATGGTTAAGCCGTGGGGCAAATCACGTGTCTAATTTTGCAGTGTCATGAACCGATACAGCAAAGTTATGATAAGACTTACTTTCCTCATTCACAGAGCTTCATATTTTAAAATTTGACATACATCGCATTTGTGTGTGATCGGGTGTGGTGTACTTACTTGTAACCGCTTACAACGTGAGAACACACAGACTGCATCTCTCGGGTAGCCTCGCAACGTTTCCGATCTGTATACGTGCTGTTCAATTTGAATTCTAGCCAATTTAGAAAAAAGAAAAAAAAAGTGGTGAAGTTTAGACAAGTGCCGTCTTTAACATGTATCTATCAGACTCGGCGGACGTTAGATGAGGGGATAATCATCATGGGAAGTTGGCTAATTAGCTAAATACAGTCCTTTACTTTCTAATTGTTGGATTATAAAGGGGTCATGTAGAAATTGCAGTATTGACGACAACTGCTATTATAGGCCTGAACAATTGAAAAAATTGGGGAAGATGCAGTCATTTTTCACATAATAATTAATAACTTTAAACCATTTTTCAGCTTAATTTAAAAAGTGCGTCCACAAAGAGCGCCCAGTGCTCCGCCCATATAAATGTTTAGAAGAGTGACATACACTCTAAAAAAAATGCTGCGTCTACTCTCCAACACAACACTCGGAGTGCCAATCACCGCAGCTTACGGAGGCAACTCAGCGAATGGCGATGCCGGAACATATGTTGAGACAAAAAGAACGCAGTCTGAGTTGCGACATTAAGCGATGCAAGCTTGACGTTTCGCATTGCATGATAAGTACATGATGAAGGCAGCACTCGTATAACTCTTGGTCACTTCTAAAAAACGGTCCGAATTAAAGGCAAGCACACTGTATAAATAAAAAGACTAAATGCTTTTATATATTCGCAAAATACTCAGTATGCATTAACAACCCTGTGTGAAGGAAAAAAATAATTTGTCCAATAAACGCATTGAAGCTTAGGTAAATTATATGGGGCTCATATGTGGCATTTAAGTTTTTTATGATTTTATGTTTATTGGACTTATTTGTCTATTGGACATATTCATATATGTCTATTGGACATATTCAAATACCTTCCTTTCACTTATAATGTAAACGCTTTTACACTCTAAAAATGCCTGCGCGTCTACTTACGCGGAAAATACCCGAAGAGCCAATTTCTGAGATCTACGAAACCAGCTGAGCAAATGATGAAGCGGAACATCTGTTTAGACCTCAAAATTAAATCGGCGCAGTGACTTTACGCAATACAAGCATGGCGCTTTGTATTGCGTAATGTCACGGCGCAGACTTAATTTTAAGGTCGAAACGAATGATCCGCCTCATCATTCGCTGAGCTGATTTCGTAGATTCCAGAGGTTTGCTCTTCGAGTGTTTTGCGGGTAAGTAGAAGCGCACGCATTTTTTAGAGTGTAACATTGTCAGAATTACTTCAAGCCCACATTGAAATAATGATGCGTAAAAATACAGAGATATATACGCAGACGGAGAGTGCTCTACGGCTAACTCACAGGTGGCGCCAATGTGCTAGCACTCGATCAAACTTAAAATCAAATGTGTGTATCAGCTTTAATCCTGTATTCATTATTCACTCCCTTTCAAAAATGGCAACGAGGGTCACTTATGAAACAACGGCATAGGTCATGGAACTGAAATAAAAATAGGTTTGAGTACTTTAAATGAGGTACAGTGGGGGAGAGACCAAACGAAGCCACAGGAGTGCGCTGTCTCGAGCTACACGCGGGCGTCATGCTGGCGGCAAGAGGAACCACGCGAGCCGCGCGCCGGCCGGTTTCGAGACCAGCGGCTGCTATCAACATCCGGCTATCAGGCCTTTGCTATGTTTGATATAAAATAGGTGAGCGTTATTAAACATAGTGTGGCTAGAGACGGCACGCTCTTGTGGCTTCGTTGGCTACTTTCAACACTGTAGGTCACTTTTAGTTGGAGCTATCTACTAGCCCCTACGTACGATGGTGGCAGCCTCACTATCATCTTTGTTCATATTTAAATTAACATAACGCGGTGCCGTCATAACTAGAAGGTTAGTATACAAAAAGAGGAGGCTGTGCATTTTGAAAACATCCTTCTAAATTCAACGAGTCACTTGAGGGTGAAATGTTTAAATTTATTATTTTATATTATTTTTCCGACTTTCCAGTCTGTGAGTTCTTTGTTAAGAATAATACAAACCCAACCACTGACCTGGACGAATGTTGGCTTATATTCCTCGCATACTGTGGATACCCGAAGGCTTTTTACAAGGAAACAAGCTGTTACTCTTGAACTATTGCCTAATATCTAGACACTGAAAACCTCAACGTGAAGACACCACTCTCCAAGACGCACCAAAACGCACTTGGTAACGGTTATGATATTTAAACAGCATTGATCTTTCTGATTCTGACATAGATCTTGCATGAAAATAGGCTCTCTTATGGTTTTCAGTCTTGCAATGTTATTTCGCAACGCTCTAAAAAAACAACGAGCTTATATGTAAAAAATAAACTCATCGTACTTAACGATGCTTACTGTCTCTGTATTCTTTATGCTAGATGACGTGTGCATTTTAATTAACACATAAACTTAAGAAACGTAGCTGGAGGACACGTCACTCTGCGGATGTATATAGATCGCATGTTTAAACGCGGGCCATTCAAACTATGTGACAGCCTACAACTAATGCATGCAAAGCATAAAACAAGCTAATTATTTAGTATTTCAAGACTGATGACTGTTGTATTCACCTATAAAAGCTAGAGGTTAACAAAGTTATCATTATAAAACAAACAAAATTTGTGCCTCTGAGCAGTGACATTGCGTTCCTAGCACTACAAGGATTTAAACATCATTCATTGTGCTTTACGTGGAACACGGATACAACAAAACTATCACCCCTGAAACAAAATCATAGCGGAAACATGTAGGATAAATCATTTTGGTTCAGACTGCGTAGAGAAAATAACACAGCAATATCTTAAAAAGGCAATTACTTGTCCCTAAATGTGTGTTTTGTAAATTTATGTATGTTAGCAAGATTTCTTTACCATCATAGTTTGTTCTTTTTATGCATAATTACATTTGTGAACATGCTGTATAGGTTCACCGTATTACGCCAGCCAGGGAACCAAGTTTCATCCCGGTGCGGGGGCTTCGTCAAACTTTACTTGCTGCAGCTTTTTGCCCCAAGCACCACCTGTCTTGTTGAGAGAAACATGAACCATTGATTCATTGATTTAATGGTAGAGCATATATTATTCATGCATGACAGGTTCAGCGTCAACACGGCAGAACAACACACACACAGCCCGCAACAAAATAATAACAACTATTATTAGCCTTATGAAAACAACAATTACCAAAACGTACACCACGGCGTATAAACCACACAAGATGATAACATAGTTATGAAACTGAAAGTAGTTGGCAAAGTCCTAAGAGCATGTGGTGTGATAAAATAAAATGTCTCAAACCAGCTTTCATGAATCATTGATTAGGCTATGACAAGAATGTGTAAATGTTATTAAGCATAATAAGGAGTTTTAGTAGATCTTTCTAGTACTTCCAATCACAATACCCCCAACTACACATACACACACATATTTACGTATCGGTATCGGGTGTTGTCGTCGGTGGCATCGGAACGTACTACACAAAATTCTTAAGACTCCGCTAATACTTGTGCATGTCTCCATCGGGCCTAAATATTATAATCAGCAGAGCAGCAGCACAATCACTTAAAGCATCGCCGTATGTGTCTCGACAGCTTAGTCCAGCGGATAGGCCTAGCGAACGTCTAGACTAAGCGCTTTTGCTACGCGCTTCGTCGGCGCCAACGTTACTGAACCACTCAGTTGGGAAACTGCCATAGAGACTGCTCTGAAAAAGTGTCCCCGCTCTGTCCTCCAGCACCGAGCTAATGACGAACACAACGCCGCCATTAATCCCGCAGCGGCCACTTGATAAACTGCACGTGACGTCTATTTTGGCTTTAATCGGCCATTTTGGCGCCGAAACAGATACAGCGGAAGGGGTTACAGGGGCTCCACCCCCATCTCCCCAGCGGACGTGCCGCGATTTACTACCAAAGCTAAAATGCACCTAGGTCGGGACGCGCTACCTGAAGGCACCGGTGAGGCATGGTTGTATAAAAACAATATTAATTGTTCCGCAAAACCTTGTGAACTAAAGATTATAAAAACATCACGCGCCCTTCATTTTGTATTAAACTCCAATATATTTCATACAAAAAGAGTCTTTTCCGTTTGTTTTTACGCAAAAACAGGCTTTCTGAGAGATCAAGGTGACCACAGTACAGACAAATGATAAAGATTGGCGCTGTTGTCGTATTTAGCTCGGTCTCGGTGGACGCCAGCGGCCCAGGTTTCGACGGCGAGTTTCCCAACTGAGTGTTCTATAGTAACGTTGGTCGGCGCCGATGACTTGTCTTTGTTCGTTTGCTGTTCTCTCCTGACCACGGTGGATGTGCTCCTGGCGCACATTACGTTCTAAACTTCTGGTTGTGTGAGAATTATTTCAGGTTCTGTTTGGCGACTTGCAAGTGCTTCGGAAATCGTTATCGACGCGGTAAACTCCATGAGATCATCGAATGACGCCATCGCGAATTGGTGCCTCACCCGATGAATTATGACGTTTAAGGAGTATTTAAGGAGAATGGGGCGATTTTGGAAACTCTTGCTTGTTGCGAAACGTTGCACGGTCATTTCATTTGATTTATTGAAGCCTAAAAACAAAACAAAAAAAAACGAAAAAAAAAAAAAAACGGGTGTAGCTTTTACACCCCTTGTCACATATGCGCGACAGCCCAAAACTTCAGCTTGCCGTGCAGGGCACTGACGTCCAACTGACGACACCTAATTTACAAGAGGCTTCATGACGATGCGATACAACATATTAAACAGCTAGAGTAGGCATTAAAGACACAAAAAGGAAAGACTGATGTTTTGCAATAGGAAAAAAATGATAGATTTTTAGAGTTTGTTACATTTAATTAAGCTATTTTCGTAAGTTTTACAACTGGGCTCTCAAGCCGCTCGTGAAAATTGGTAGCGCCGGTTGGAGGCCAGGGCGCTGCACGCCAACTGAAGTTTAGCGGTGTCGTATATGGCACAAGGAGTATTAGGGCTACATCTCTTCTTCAAGTGTGAGGTTTTTGAGGGCACTATACCATGAGGAGAGGGCAATACGCAATCTTGTGATAAAAATAACTTCAGAAACTATTCACAAAGAATAGCTAGCGTTAATATACATAAAAACGCCATTTAATTAATATATCCTTATTTTACAAATCCATAAAATATAATTATATAATCTGATAGGATGATCAGATTCAATCAACTTTGAAGTCGTGTAATCCATCATTGTCGCTAGCTATGACGGTAACACATGAAGGCGACGTGGATGGAGATAACAATTGTGTCCTGTCAACACACCTAAATAATTTCGTTTTGTACAAAAAACACCTACTTGCCAGTATGCGATAAATCGTTCGGCAACAATTCTTATTTGAAGAGGGAACATATGGGACGAAGCAGGTAGCAAGAAGCTGGGGTAGAAGGAGAGGTGGAGGCGAAGGAGGGAAGAACTGAAGAGAGAGAGATAGAGCGCTGCCACCGAGCCGGTAGTTCAAGGAAGGAAAAAGCCAGCACCAACCATGGGGCCACCAAAGGGAGTCCTGAGAGAGGCAATAGTGGTAGGGATTGCAAGTGTTGGGCGATTTGCGCAAGTACTCGTTCAGAATGTGGGGATCCCCAATAGCGTTGAATTCCTGTGCAGGAAGGGAGCAACTGTGGAATAGGCACACCAGCCCACCGTGGAGTATGAGGGCCAGGCCCGAGTTGCCAAAAGAATCTACGTGCTACACTTGGGACTCAACAAAGTACTGCAGGGAGTGGCGGAGAGCATAACGGCCAAACTGGAAGAGATATGGGCTGAAAAGGGAACGAAACTGATCATCTTCTCGATACCGGTGGTGTCTGGCCGAGGAAGAGAAATAAAAGCGGACGCGGTCGCAAATAACGCACGACTCCACAGTTTGTGCCAATAGATCGGGGCACGTTTTTTGGACCGAAGGAAAGGTCTACGAACGAGGTACTTTGCTGGAGAGAGTCTGCACTATTCTGAGGAAGGGGTACGGCGAGCGGCCAGAGCAATAACCGAGGTGGCAGCCCCTTTTTTAGGGCAACAGAGGCGGCCGTATATGCCTCGGAAAGAGGGTGGCGCAAGAAGGGGAAGGGCGTCCAGCACGGAAGTGCAGTGGGAGGTGGTCAGAGCTGGTGAGAGACCGAAACAACAAGTACCCTGACCAAGGGAGCGAACGCGGGTGGTAAAGGGAGGTGAGGCGACGCGGCGGGACCAACGGTCAACAGCCGAGGCGAAGGAGGACCGAAATGAAGCTGCGCGGAAAAGGAGACGACGAAGGAGAGTGAAAAGAAGAACAAAGCTAGCCTTATTGAACATACAGGGTGGTCGGGTTCAGCGCAAGTGGGAGGAGATATTGAAGACAATGGCATATGAAGAAATAGAGCTGTACTGTATAGTGGAGACACAACTTGGGGACTCGGAAATGCCACCGGGGCACTCAAGGCTGTGCTGGGAGGCGTGTAACAGAGGGGGAGTAGAGAGAAGGGGAGGAGGCATTGGGGTACTCTTTGCGCCGAATCAAGGATGGTTCAGGGCAAGACCGAGTTGCCGGGAACACCTCTGGATGACGGGGATCCTAGCAGGATGTAAGACTGTAGTGTTGGTGGTCTACATGTGGACAGGAATAACTGCCGAGGAGAGGAATAGGGAGATATGGGAGTGCCTCCGACTAGACATAGGAGACCTCCATGGAGATTATGATAATCTCCTGATGGGGGACTTTAATCCGCACCTGGACAGCCTGCATGGGGCCATGGATGCCAAGGGCCAGGAGTTACTAGAAACGGTGGATCAATTCAATCTGGTCAACGGGAACTTGCAACCGAAGTGCGAGGGATTCAACACTTGGTCGTCGGGGGACTGGAAGTCTTGCATAGATTTTGCGGTCATGTCCATAGGTCGGCACTTCAAGCTGTCCTCACTCAAACTCGCGATCCCCATTTTTCCCTTAATCAGAACTCACGCCCACTCACGATCACGACTTATTCAAAATAGAGTCACCACCCGGACTCACCCTCATGGTTCAACACAAAACCAAAACTCACTTGACGTCATCATCACGGTCGTTACGCTCACAGATCATCACGGTCATCACGAATCGTGAGACTCACAGGTCATGACACTCACAGGTCCTCACGGTCCTCACACTCACAGGTCATCACGCTCATCACACTTACAGGTCATCACGGTCCTCACGGCACTCACGCTCAAGGTCCTCACGGTTCTGACACTCACAAGTCATGATGCTCATCACACTCACAGGTCCACGCGGTCCTCACACTAACAGGTCATCACGGTGCTCACACTGTCAGCTCCTCACGGTCCTCGCACTCACAGGTCCTCACGGTCCTCATACTCACACGG